TCAGAGGGTTTATTACTTGAGAGACAAAAGACTTGGATTGTCCTGAGGGCTTGTTGCTTCCAGGGACTCAAGAATTTTTCAATGATCTGATCTTCAAATCCTCACTAAACAGGATGGAAATATGACCCCTGGATCCAGTGCATTGGGGATCATGAGGTGGGAGCTTAGTGGGCCATGGGAGCACTTCCTAACAAGAAGAGAGAACCCCAGCCATCAGGCTTACCTGTCAAATCCAGAGATTGAAAGCATTTCTTATCTTTTGCTGGGGCTGATTTGGCGAGAGTGTATTTCATTTTCTTCAAATATTCCAGGACTAAAATTAAATTGATTTTGTGACAGTACGCTCAGTCTTGGGTGTCATGACCATACAAGTCTGTATGACTGAACACCCACAGTCGTGGCCATCTTGTGCTTTGTGGAGTTTCTAACTAGTAGTACCCAAGAATTTGGTCTTTGCTATGGGCTCTAGGAGATAACCATTAAAACCCCGGAATTTCCCCAGTGATTGGAGTCTAAGTTACCCGTTAAGGGCTCCAGACGACATCTACCTAACAAGATATGCAAACGAAGTGTCTCTGAAGTACAGACTGGCCAAACCCCACCAGGAGATCTAAGCGTCAGTTCAGAGGAGGTCGGGTTGGAGCCCGAGTTCAGTTAGATGGCCAATGGGTAAATCAGTGTGACCACAACACAAGAAGTCCAGTGAGCTTCCTGGCAGGCGGGTGAAAGACATCTTCCTGGGGAAGGTAGCATATTCTTTGAGAAAAGGACCCTCTATGTTGGGAAACCTCCCGGAGATCTTGCCCTATATGGTTTCAATTGTACAGTGTTTGCGATCAGAAAACTGAAATAAATGAAACCGAGTTTTGTGAGGTGTGCTGGCAAATTATTGACCCTAAAGGAATAATGGTGAGATCCAGGAGGTCAGAAGTCACGGTTTTCCTGGGGACCCCTGGACATAACATCTGGTTCTCATTCTGATGGGATAGAAGGACCCTTTAAATTCGTAACCAACACGTTAGAAGTGGGAGGGTCTGGAGACCCCAAGGCTAAGGCTGGCATCTAGAAGTCTTGCTAAGACTTGATGCCTGGAGGGCCGTGTCCTCCAACATGCTTTCTGACTTAGCTCTCGGGCTTAGAGAAAGAAATCTGCACTTTCAGAGGGTGTCAGGACAGAATTGAATTGATTTGTTCATGTTCTACCAAAACTCAAAATGAATTAAGAACCACATTTGAATTGCACAAACCACAGTCTTTCGAGAAACCAACTGGCCACAGACCCAAATGCTTGCCAGAGCTAGGAAGCCAGATGAGGACTGTGGTCAAGTGAACAATACCATCCCATCTCGCAGCTCGTACAGAGCCAGTGCGCAGCTCTAGTTGACTGCTGCCATGTGGGAATTCAGGATCAGGGTTTCCAGGGCTGAATGTTTGTCACGAGTCAGAAATATAGATTTTTATGTATGAAATGTTCCAACTTTTATGTTGACAACAGTTCAACTAAACTTACCGATAAAACAAATCATGTTTTTGAGATAGCGGCAGTCTAGGGGCCCCAACAGGTGCCCTCTGGGCTAGGTGCTGAGCAACCTGAATGAGACTGTACTATAAGGTGGGCCCTACCACCCAAGCAACAAAGAATGTTTTCTCTGTTTCTTCTTGCCGCATCAAGGAAGTATTTCTGTCAATATAATACCCAGAGTTTTCTGAGCTCACTTGAAGACTGTAAATAAAATCTCCCACCTTACAATATCTCAGCATTTTAAAATCGCTCTTTCGTGGGCTTCTTGTTTTACTGGTAAAGTGGGGCTTTCAATTCACCCACCAGAGAAATTGCTCTTATCACAAAGCTCACAGGCACTGTGGAAGTTACACAATTTTCAGGTCAACTTGATAAAAAAATGAAGGGGTGGCGTCTAGCCTGTCAATCAGGTCACAGTCTCTCTTCTTCCATGGACGCGGGACCCACTATCTGTTTCACCTTCCTGTTGACAAGCCATATGGAGCCATGCTGATGGCAGCCAGAGCCCTGGAGATACTTCCACCGCCACTGGATCCACAAGGCTTTTCACCCACTGGCCTTTGATCTTCCTGCATTCAGCATCATTGCCTGTACTGCGTGGATCTGAAGAAGAATTTATGAACTAGTGTCGGACATATGGGCTAATATCAGACTTATGGACATGATGTGGACTGGGCTGAAATGTTTTCTCAATATACAATTTCTCTTTGATATAAAACTCTCTCTTACACACATTTGTTTCTGTAGTCAACCTGGACTAACACGGAGACACAGGAGCATCAATATTCTCTGCATTGTGGTCTGCAGGCAATCTTAAAGGGGGCAAATCAGCCACTTGGATGATTTTTCCACCTTGCCCAATAGCACAAGGGGAAAGATTTTTATTTAGCTTGAATTCTGTCGTATTGGGGAAGTATTATCTGATGGAAGATTTCTTTTTCTTTCCTGAAGGCAAGCCAGTAGGTTGTTTAAAAGGTAGCGATGACAGTCATTGAAAAAAGAGTGTGTCCAGTGGAAAATGGCATTGCATGGGTACTGTTTTACAAACACGGGCCTGTGTGTTAGAAGACACCATTGAAAAGAAGCCAGGAGGCTGTTCTAGTGGGGACTACCCAATCTCATAAATTAAGGTTCGATGCTTCAGGGGATTCCTTCTGTTTTCTTAGGCACATCCTATTCAGTTCTGTGCCATAATCCATTTGAAAAAAAAACGTGTTATCTATGTGGTTGAATATTTCCACCATGTAGCTGAAATCCTGTTCAGTGCTCAGAATAGCCAATGAGCCCATTTCCACTCAAGTAACTGTCCAACATGAGTTAGAGAATAAAAATGCCCTAGTAATGGATGGAGACTGAATGTTATATGCCTAGGCTGAGGGGAATTGGTTGTATCTCTGCATTAATCCCGTGAACCCTGTAATAGTGAGAATGCATCAGCACCACCCACCCTCTTTTTCCGGCTCTCACAAGTCTTCCACTGTTGACAGAGTATAGGCTCACCACTTTTCTGTCGCTGATATTAGTGGAGAAGATTGAAGCTTCCCTTCTCTGACAGGTTTCTGCTTTACACCAGTCCTGGCTTTCTCAGATTTTACTGTATAGTATTTTTTTTAAGCTCTACTGGTAGTGTAATGGGTTACACATTGGGTTGATAGCGTCAAGGTTAGCTGTTCAAACCACCAGCCTTTCCATAGGAGAATGATTCTACTCCTGGAAAGAGCTATAGTCTCAGAAACCCACGGGGGCAGTTCTACTCTGCCTAGAGGGTCGTTATGAGTCAGAGTTGACTCAATGGTAGTAAGTGAGTGAGTGAGTGAGTGACCTTTCAATGCATTAAGGAGCCCTGATGGCTTAGTGGGTTATGCATCGGGCTACTAATCAAAAGGTCAGTAGTTTGAAACTACCAGCCACGCCGCAGGAGAAAAATCCTACTTCTATAAAGAGTTACAGTCTCAGAAAAACCATAGGCAGCAAGCCAGCAAGGCAGAATAAAAGTGCCCATAGGGATTGTAAGGCTGTAAATTTTAGGGGAGAGACTGCCACATCTTTGCCCCAAGGTGCAGATTGATGGGTCCAAGGCTCCAACCACACAGTTAGCAGCCACGGGCTTCACCACGGTGCCACCAGAGCAAACCCTCTACCATCGGGTCAATTCCAACCCATAGCGATTGTACAGGGCAGAAGAGAACTGCCCTGTTGGGTTTCCGAGGCTGGACAGTTGGAAGCAAGTTCTCACCGCTGACTTTGTTAGTAGCCCAACACATAACCCACTACGCCATCTGGGGGCTGTGGAAGCTGAGTAGTCCTGTCTCATTGCCCAACCTTTGAGGCAATGAATGGGACAATACACTGAAGAACAACGCCTGTCTACACCGATCGTAAAATCTTGGTGAACTGGTGATCTTGTCCAGGCAACTCACTTCCCCAATGTGAACACATGAACCAGATGATCAGAAAGTCAGTTTGGGTGTCAAATTTCTTTTCTTTCCTTCTTTTAAAAAAATCATTTTATTGGGGGCTCTTATAACTCTTGTTACAATCCATACATACATCAATTGTATCCGACATATTAGTACATATATTCCATCATTCTTTTCTAGACATCTACTTGACATTGAGCCCTTGGGATCAGCACCTCTTTTTTTCCCTCCCCCCTCCCCAACCTTCATGGCCCCTTAATACATTGCAGATTGTTAATTATTTTCAAATCTCACACTGACTGTGGTCTCCCTTCCCCTCTGGTTTCTGTTGTTCTTCCCCCTGGCTGGGGGGGTGTGGTTATGTGCCATTCATTGTGATTGGTGCCCCCCTCCCCCCTCTCCCCTTCTTCCCACTTCCCTTTTGGTATCTCTATTCTCATTCCTGTTCCTGGGTCCATGCGTGTGAGTTTTATCTCTTGCCTATACCTATGTACATGCTCCCGTCTAGTTTATATTGGGAAGTGGCACTGAGGTCATGATAGCGGGGGTGAGGAGGCCTTAAGGGATCAGAGGTATATTGAGTGACCCATTAGTGCTCTACTGAACCCTGATTGACTCACCCCCTCCCTGTGACCCCTCTGTGGGGGAATGTGCCATTGTCCATAGATGGGCTTTGGGTCTCCACTCCAACCCCCCTCCATTCTCACCAATGCATTTTGGTTTGTTTGTTTACTGTTTGTTGTGAATCTTCTGATGCCTGTTGCCCGGTCTCAATGACACCTCATGATCACACTGGTTGGTGTGCTTCTTCTATGTGGGTGTGTTGCTTCAAAGTTATTTATATGTGGAATATATAGAGGTGTGTATATGGGATATATATCTTTTCACCATAAGAATAAATCATCAAAGCTAGGAGAAAACAGATCTAAGACATGCATTTTTTATTATGAGTTTCTCTGGGTGAACTTCAAATCCCTGAATTCTTATTTCAATGAAACATGCAGAGTTTCAGCTCTTCAGATGCTTAATAACACTCTTTTCTTTATTTTCACTTTCAGTTCTTGAAGAGAAAAACTGCTCAGACCCTGGGGGCCCGGTCAATGGGTACAAGAAGATAACGGGTGGCCCTGGGCTTCTCGATGGGCGCTCTGCAAAAATTGGCACCGTTGTGTCCTTCTTTTGTAACGGCTCCTATGTCCTCAGCGGCAATGACAAGAGAACTTGCGGGGAGAACGGGGTGTGGTCAGGAAAACAGCCCATCTGCATAAAAGGTAACCTAACCAATTTTCTTCTGACTTCCGTCAGCTTCCAAGCATGGTTCTGAGTTGCTGAAAAAGCAGCTTCCTCTTTAAGTTCTTCCTAGAACCCTGGTGGCATCGTGATTATGCCTTGGGCTGCCAACTTCAAAGACAGCAGTTCAAAACCACCAGCCCCTGCAAGGGAGGACGATGCTTTTTTATTCCCGTAATAGTTACAGTCTCTCAAACACACAGAGGCAGTCTGTCCTGTCCTCCGGGATCAATTGGTATCAACTCAATTGCAGTGAGTTGGCTTGAGGTGGAACCAGAGAAACCCTTCAATTAGGTGCCATCTGAGAAGCATCTCTTTCTTCCACAGGGCCTGTTTATCCTGATCGTGATATCTAGATGTGATCACGAAGAATGAGGGAGTTTGCGTAGCTTCTTGGGAAAGATGACAGGGCTGAATTTTGTAAGAGATCTCAGGACCAAATTAAAGAAATTAATAAGCGGCGTTAAAGCTATGTTCATCGTCGACTCTATATCCAATATGAAGTATAGTGCCGAGTCTCCTATGTGCAAATCCAAGGATCGAATCCAGGAAAGAATCAGCATGTATAAAGTTGTATTTATCTACTCTACATTCAACAGCAGGTCAGGGTGAGAAATAACGCGATAGATATCTCATCCTTGCAAGTACTAGGCAGGGTGTGGTGGGGAGGGAGTTTGATAGGTCAAGATGTTTAAAGACAGAGGGAGCTCTTAGTCACCCAAGGGAGTTATGAACCGATGAGGAGTCAAAGTTCAGAGGAGGTGAGATCAACCTTACCTGCAATGGAGACACTGCACAGAGCAGGGGAGGGGAGCAGGAAAGAATGTGTAGCAGTGAGAGTGTGGGGGGGATAATATTCCAGATGGAAGACACAGGAGCAGAAATGAGATTCTGGCAGAAGTCAAAGACCCACGGGATTCAAAGTGAAGCAGTCTGGGATTCAAGGAGATCCGTTTCCAAAGGTGGGTTGGACCTGAACATGGAACTGTTGTGTCCAGAAGTTTGAACTTCGCCCCTTTGCAGTGGGAGCTGAGAGCTTCTTACTCAATTGTTTCACTGCTTGTTGCAGGCAATGGTCCCCCGACTTTTGGTGGGGCAAGGATCGGGGCTGCTTCCTGGGAAGAAATGCATATCCATGGCCTAGATTATCCAGATAATTGCTCCACTCCTCCAGGTTCCCTTCAGGGTGTTTGTTAGCGACGGGAATCTTTGGTAAAGGAATGAAAGGGAATGGATGGTGGAGAGAATAACTCACTTTAGACTTCAGCCAGAAGCCACCTACCTGGTCGTCACCAGCACAGACTCTGGCTGGTGATTTCAGGAAGAAGAGAAATGGTGTTACATATATCCTTGGAGAGTTTTGTTAACGTTTCTCTTCTGAGTTAATGCAATCAAAGTTCTCTGAGTTGCTAATTAGAGGAATATTGGCTGCCTAATTGGGAAAATGAGCTGGGAAGGATTCCTTTCACTTGTGAAGAAAGAGAAATGTTCACATGATTAAACTGTGCTTTCAAATGGTTGCCAGGGACCTTAGTTAAAGCAGAGAAGGGACATGGAAAACTCAGGTGTCCAAGCCTTGCCTATGGTGGATGTTGTCGGCTGGTCTCTTAGAAGAAGCTTCCAATTCCTTATGTGCGGCTTCATTTCAGAAAGTTCAGTTTGACTTTGATTAAGTTTGCAAATACTATGTATATCAACAGACCATCCTAAACTATTAAATGCCATTTGCCTAAATCACTCAACTGGAGCAGCCACCTGGTACCTTTTTCTAAAGGCATTGACTGAGGTTCTGCAGAGGGATGTCAATTTAGGAGGAAGGCAGTGTGCCCTTTTCTGAGTGAGCTGCCCAAGAGGGGCCTGTGGGGGGGAGGGAATGCCAGCCCCCACAACTAATTGCGGGTTTGATAGGCACAATTATACGGTTAATATATATCAAGATTATAGTAAAGTCTAGAGAGCATGAGAGATAGAGGAGAGATTGAAATAATGGAGTCAGACACATTTCATAGTAGCATGCTCACCTCAGCCCCGCTTGGTCTTCTAAGTGGAGAGAGGGGGAGAGAAAGGAGGACAAGGGGAAAGGGAACAGGGGAGCGAGGACGGGAAAGGAAAGAGGGAACTGACGAGAGGCCAAGAGGGGAGCCTGAGAGAGCTATTTATTGCTAACCCATGCCTATATACCTTTGGGGGGAGTGCAAGCCCACTAATGACAGGTAAAGACACACATCACAGGAAGGGGTTGCACTATAGGTTATACAGCAATGAGAGGGGGACAATCTAGGGATATACATGCAATAGGAAGATGAGGGTTTTGGGGTATCCATGTGACAAGAAAGGCAGATCCTAGATTCAGGATGGCAGCCTAACTTTGACTATCACTGAGCTGGTATGACCTGTTCTCTGGCCCATCATAGAAACCATTTTCAGTAGGGTGTACCCACCTACAGGAACCAAGCTAATGGTCTCAAACCTTTAGGGAGAAGTAGCCCATTGTCCTTAACAGCAGGGAGCAGGCCTACCTGTGGTGGGACCATTCAGTTGTCTGGCAACTGACTGCCTTCAGGGAGGATGTCTCTAAGCATCGGACCTCCCACCATATGTTGGGAAATAGCCTCTAATGTTTGACATGTCTTTGGGTGAGACAAAGCTGGGGAAAAGTCTCTGTGTAATCTCACAGGGGCATGCATGTCTCTCCTCTGAGGATGTGAGGGCAGGTACAGCCGGTGTCCAGGAAGAGTAGGAATTGGACCGGGTGGATGTGAACAACGAATTGAGAAGGGGATTATACAGCATTGTCTTTTCTTCTAGCCTGCCGAGAACCAAAGATCTCCGACCTGGTGAGACGGCGAGTCCTCCCCATGCAGGTTCAATCAAGGTGAGGCCAAAGCTTCGGACTCTGCTTTAAAATGAATGACTCTTTCCCCTTCCATCCTCTTTTTCCATTGGTGTTGGGCCAAAGACAGTCTGGAGTTCCCAAGGGACATTCAGTACTGACTAGCTAGAAAAGAATAGGCCTGTTTGATGGAGCCTCATTAGAAGACTGCCTTCAGCCAAGAGGTAGCAACTGTTGGAAGATGTACAAATTTCTGTAGCTCATGGGAAAGTAGGGACAGAAGTTTGAGAGGGTCCTGGGGGAACTAGATTTTAATTCTGAGTCTTCCTGAAATAACTGTAATCATATAGCAGCTTCTAAGGAGACGGGATTCCTACCAATTGTAGCCAGCTCTGGTTTAGGAACGCCTTGGTGGTACCCATTGATTAGCATATATTCTGTGGATTACCAGAAGGTTCGGGGTTCAAATCAACGCAGAAAAAAGTCTTGTGATCTACGTCCAACAAAGTGAACCACTGCGAACCCTAGGGGCACAGTTCTTCCCTGACACAAGCGGGGGAGGTCACCATGTGTCAGCGTGGGATGGGGACAACTGCAGATGGTTTAGGAAGTTGTTTGAGTTTTTGTGAGCCCAGCCTTCAGCTTAGTATCCTTCACACCTGTTGTCTAGATACACTTACTTAATTTGCGCCCTGCCTCCCCACATCCCAGTACTATACAAGTATAGGAACATTATCTGTTTTGTTTGTGCTGAATCCCCAGTGCCTACCACATCAAAGGCCTTCAATAAAGAATGACGGAGTGGATAGAGTACATCAACAAACAAACGTCATAGACTCGGTTCTGTCACTAGTGCTGGCTATTCACTTGTATTGTCTTAGTTTCCCCTTTTCAAAAATAGGGAGGGTTATGACAATAACGTCCGACTTTGGGAATTGTGGTAAGAATCAAACGCAATACTAACCACTGACATTTGTCATTTACTATATCCCAGTTGCCCTTCACGTACTTATCATTGACAATGTGTGTACTAGTTCATGTCACCCTCACTATAGTCTTGGCCATTGTTATAAACATTATTACCATTTGACAGATGGGAACATTGAGGTGCAAGGCCTTTAAGTAGTTTACCCAAAATCACATTGCTCAAAGAAGTGGCAAAGGCAGGATGAAAATTCAATGCCTGGCTTCAGGGTTTGCTGCTTTATGCACAAGACTTTAACCAAGAGCTGGGTAGAAATGGTAACACTGAGAACTAGAGGCTGGGGTTGGCCCCATCCAAGTGGTCTGGAAAATCCAGCAGTGGAGCTGGGAATGCCTTACTCACCCTCTCAGGCCATCTCATCCCATTTCGGCCTTTCCCTTTCTAAGCAATCCATTTCCTTGGAAACGGGCAATAAAGTCCACATCGGCTCTTTCCTGATCTTCATGCTGTGCCTGAGATGAGGCGCTCCACTACAGGGATGCGAACCTGCTCTTCCCAAGGAAGACCTGCTGTAGAGGAAGGAGCCTGGAGCTTCTGGGAAGGACCAGCGACAGGTGGCTCCTATGGGAGGGAAACAAGTCTAGAAATTGGTGCCAAGTATCCTATAGGCTGATGGGTTGCTGGCAGGGAGCCCACCGAAGCAGCATAGGCCAGTGGGTCTCAACCTTCCTCATGCCGTGACCCTTTAATACAGTTCCTCATGTTGTGGTGACCCCCAACCATAAAATTATTTTCATTGCTACTTCATAAATGTAATTTTGCTCCTGTTATGAATCATCGGGTGACCCCTGGGAAAGGGGGCGTGATCCACAGGTTGAGAACCGCAGGCATAGGCCTTCAACATGTAGAAGAGGAGCTGAGTTATCAGTTCAAAAGCTCCTGGAACTGCAGGCCTGGGACGTGAGCTGAGGATGAGTTGAACACAATCAGTGTGGATGGAATGTTTGCCCTAAGGGAAGTCCTGCGCAAACACGTCAAATAGATTTCATAAGCAGGTAATACAATTGACCTGGTAGAGCCAGCTAACCATGAAGGCTAAGCTGGGTCTTGGGGACTCTTTTACCTTCCTGTGGACCTGCTGACGGCTCTCTCCAGCTATTAAACCAGGGGAAAGCATTGATTCCTCAAGGAATTCCAACTTCTCAGTTGACTGTCACCCCGCAACAATACAGAATGAGCGCAGAGCTGCGGCACGTGCACAAATCTCCCCCAAGAGCCCCCAAGTGGGCTCTGGGGACTTCAACATCAGGGCTCACTTACTACATCTCTCTGCATTTACATACAAAGCTCCGTATTCCCCTCCATCAGTGTGCCCTGAGAGAAAGTTCTATTCTTTGAGGTGTGCTAATTACATTGCTAATTGCCAAATCAAGCTACTGTATCCACACAGTTTAGTGTGAGCCAACTCCTAATATTGTCCCATTATGATAATGTTCAGAGCGAAAGAAAACATGCCTAGATTTCACTACTTCACACGAACTCCCTTTCCGGTATAATTTCCCAATGAATTCCTTTTGTGTGCATGTACAGCATACCTCAGGATAATAGCTATTACACCAGACATTATCCTCTTTGGTGAAAGATCCTAGGGAGTTGGAGGGATGCCATAAATGGAAATTGGGAAATAAAATGAAGGCTGGGGCCTGCAGGAGAATTAAGGGAATTGGCCCAGCGGTAGGCTGGAGGGGTGTGTGTGTGTGTGTGTGTGTGTGTGAGAGAGAGAGAGAGAGAGAGAGAGAGAGAGAGAGAGAGAGAGAGGCAGACTGACTGAGATAGTTAATTGCTTTCTTCTTCCACATCTAAATAATCTGCATGCAGACTGATGTGGACACTAGCAACTGTCTCTCACCCTGCTTTCTCGGGCCCCTTACTCTCCACGCAGGGAGACCCCGCTCCACCAGCTGTACTCGGCAGCACTCAGCAAGCAGAAGCTGCAGGGCGCCCCCACCAAGAAGCCAGTTCTCCCCTTTGGAGACCTGCCTGCTGGGTACCAACATCTGCACAGCCAGCTCCAGTACGAGTGCATCTCGCCCTTCTACCGCCGCCTGGGCAGCAGCCGGAGGACTTGTCTGAAGACTGGGAGGTGGAGCGGGCGGGCGCCAGCATGTATCCCCAGTGAGTGGACGCGCTTCTTTAGGGTACAGGAGCAGCTTCCTCTTGCTTGAGTCTGTAACGATCCAGGAATCCTCCCAGAAGCCTTTTTGGGGAAAGACTGCTTGCCCAGAGGAAGGCATGGTCCCTCCGTGCTGTTCCTTGCTTGGCGATATCTGTCCTTTTCACAGTTAGAGTTTCTTCTTTGGGTTTCCATTTATGCTCTAGGAAAATTTGATCATTAAACTGGGAGGTGAACATATTTTCTGTTGATAATTCTATCAGAATATTTCCTGAGAGTAGGATTTCCTTGAGGAAAAGAGAGAGGGGGGAGTCATTAAACACCAAGTGGGAAAGGCAGAAAAGAGGTCAGAGAGCTTTGAGATGTGTGATCTTGATCAACCTCTCTACACCTGGGTTTTCATCCCCATCATCCAATGGGGATGATATTAACTGGCTCCTAAGGGGTGGTGAGGATGACCGAGATGGCATATGGACGGGTCTGGGATAAGGTCTTGCACACACATACTAAGCTACAGTCCCCATCCTCGCTGCCGAAGGAGAACAAAGTAGTTTAGTACCTTTGGTGGTATGCATAGGAATAATTGATAGTAGTAAATCCTACAGACAGTAAGTGCACACCTAGAACCTGGTTTCAGGTCCTGGCAAAGCCTCTGCTCTCAACCCTAGACATTATTATCAACCTCATGGAGGTGGCTAATTAATATTTTCAGGGACAGGAGACAGGCAGGTTGGGCAGCTTGGTGGTCATCACATCTCTAGAGCCTACTTGTCCAGATTTGCACTCTCCTGGCTGAGCGACATGTTTTCCTTTGAATAGGGAACCGCTGAATTCACCTCTCCCTTTTGGGGCTGCTGGGGGGTGGGGGGATAGACCTGAGTTCATCTTACTGAGCTTGTGCTTTCTCCATAGTCTGTGGGAAAACGGAGAACCAAACTACTCCAAAGACCCAGGGCCTGCGCTGGCCGTGGCAGGCAGCCATCTACAGGAGGACCAGCGGGCCGCAAGGAGGCAGCCTGCACAAGGGCGCGTGGTTCCTGGTGTGCAGTGGTGCCCTGGTGAACGAGCGCACTGTGGTGGTGGCCGCCCACTGCGTCACCGACCTGGGGAAGGTGACTGTGATCAAGACAGCAGACCTCAAAGTCGTCTTGGGGAAGTTCTACAGGGATGAGGACCGGGATGAGAAAACCCTCCAGAGCTTACGGGTGAGAGACGGCTGGAACCAAGAACCTGGGCCTCTGGCTCCGTGAGCTCCAGAACCATGCGAGCAGTGGCTGTGACACTCTGGTCACCTTTGTGACCACAGAGTGGGAGCTCAAGATTTGATAGTGACAGGCGCTAGAGAGGGGCATGCAGAAAACCCTTGAAGTCGTCTTTCTTTGATGGTTTTTCAAACAGGTAGAGACAAAGATAGCTCATTAAGAGAGTCAGATCGATATCAATAGCCTACTACACTTAGGACACAATGCCCTTGAGGACATTGATTTTATCCAAGATACCCCTAATCAATGGATAGTATCCAGGGGAGTGTTGGACTGCAACATTGAAGCTGGCAGTTCAAATGCACCCGTCACTGTGGGAGAAAGGTGAGGGTATCTGCTTTTGTAAAGGCGAACAGTCTCAGAAACCCTATCCAGTGTTGCTATGAGTCAGATTAACTTGAAATGCCAGGGTTTGGTTTGAGGGATTTCCTCTCTCTCTCTCTCTCTCTCTCTCTCTGCGTCTCCCTTCTTAGCTCCCATCCATCTATCCACCCATATCTCCCATCCATTCATCTATCCATCGATCTCTGATCCACCCATCTATCTACCTGTATCTCCCATCTATCCATCTGTCTCCCCCATCCATCCATCTATCCATCTGTTTCCCATCCACCCATCTATATCTCCCATCATCCATCTACCCATCCATTTATCCATTCCTCCATCTATGCCTCCCATCCATCCATCTATCCATCCATATCTCCCATCCTTTCATCTATCCATCTATCTCTGATCCACCCATCTATCCATCTGTATCTCCCATCTATCCATCTGTCTCTCCCATCCATCCATCTATCCATCTCTGTTTCCCATCCACCCATCTATATCTCCCATCATCCATCTATCCATCCATTTATCCATTCCTCCATCTATGCCTCCCATCTACCCATCTATATCTTCCATCCAACCATCTATCTGACCAAACACTATTGAGCTCCCCTAATCATTTTGTGAACCACTTTATTCACTGAGAATAGAGACATAAAACTAAAAGAATAGTTTTGCCCTGGAGCACCTATGGTCTAGTGAGAGAGGCCAAACAAACAAACAAACAAACCGAAACTCATAGTGGCCCTTGTGAGTTTCTGAGACTTTAACTGTGTACAAGAGTAGAAAGCCCAGCCTCCCTCTGAGCTTCTGGTGGTTTTGAACTGCCGACCATGCAGATTGCCGTCCAATTTGTAACCAGTACACTACCATGGCTCCAACCAGTCTATTGTGATCAGTGCAACACAGGAGAAGAGCTGAGGTGTGTGCCCATGTACAGGTGAAGGACGTGCGCATACTCAGCAGTGAAATGCAGGACACAGAGGGTAGCTTAGAAGTCTCCATCAAAGAGATCACTCAGCAAGGCTTGGCACAATGAGGGAAGCCTATGAAAAAGTCCGAGGGAGCATTCTAGGTATGGCTTCAGCAGACTGGTTTGAAGTGGTGCCCTTCAAGGGTGTGTGATGTGATGGCGCCAGCATAACGTTTGTTAAATCCGTTACTCACCAACATTTAGACATCAGGAAGCTTCAGATAGAAACCTAGAGTCCTAGGTTCTCTGGGACAGTTAGGATGCTTCTGCAGGACACACTGCCCACCGACATATGCAGCCCCGGGCTCTGCAGCCCCAGCCGCTCCCTTTCCTCAGCACCACCTGCCAGGTGTTGGTAGGCACAGCAGCTTACAACCTTTCAGACTCACTGCCATGCTGTGAGACATCGAGTCCATGCTGACTCTTAGTGATCCTATAGGACAGGGCAGAACTGCCTCCGTGAGTTTCCGAGACTGTAACTAGACATGTAGAAAGCCCCCGTCTCTCTCCAGCAGAATGGCTGGTGGCTTCAAACTGCAGACCTTGCAGATTGTAGCCCAACTTGTCACCAGGGCTCCTAGCTCCCCACCATGCAAGTTGAGTGATTCTTCCCACAACCCCTTAAGCACAGTGGCTCAACATAATTGCCACTGTCATGGAGACATTTTCCCCAGAGAATCTTGCCCCCGGGCTGGCTTGTCCTTGTCCACCGTGGCAGTGGCTGTTGACACTGGCTGTCTGTTCCTTGTATTTCTAGATTTCTGCCATAATTTTACATCCCAACTATGATCCCATCCTGCTCGACTCGGACCTGGCTATCCTGAAGCTCCTGGACAAGGCTCGCATCAGCACCCGAGTGCAGCCCATCTGCCTGGCGGCCTCACGTGACCTCACCACCTCCTTCCAGGAGTCTCGAATCACCGTGGCTGGCTGGAATGTCCTGGCCGATGTGAGGACCCCCGGCTTCAAGAACGACACGTTGCGATCGGGGCTGGTCAGCGTGGTGGACTCGCTGCTGTGTGAGGAGCAGCATGAAGACCGCGGCATCCCCGTGAGTGTCACGGATAACATGTTCTGTGCCCGTCAGGACCCCACCGCCCCTTCTAACATCTGCCCAGCCGAGACGGGGGGCATCGCAGCAGTGTCCTTCCCAGGAAGGGCATCGCCTGAGCCTCGCTGGCACTTGGTGGGGCTGGTCAGCTGGAGCTATGACAAAACCTGCAGCCACAGCCTCTCCACGGCCTTCACCAAGGTGCTGCCCTTTAAAGACTGGATTGAGAGAAACCTGAAATGAACTCCAGGCCCCAGGGAGCAGCTTTCCCAAGCGTCCACGTGTGACCCTTCATGACAAAAGCCATGTGGACAAGAAGTATGATTTTGCCCATAAATCTGGCTGTGCCACACCTTCTGATTTCAGGGACAGAAGTCCATGAAGGCTGCATGGAGATTGACTGCTGGTAGGACACAGTGTCCCTGACTGCTTGAGCTAGGCATCCTCAAAGGACATTTATCCAGCCCGCCGGGTGTTTTTGCCCCGTTTTGTTTTTTACTTCAAAATAAGATATGTGCATTGTGCATAGGAATTTGCTCATAGTATTTCTTTAAACTATAGTCCGGCCCTCCAGCGGGTCTGAGGGACAGTGAACTGGGCCCCTGTTTAAAAAGTTTGAGGACCCCTGGGAACAGAGCATTTGGAAGACCCTAGAGCTTTCAAAAGGGACCACTCAAATAGCAAAGAAAACGTCCCCATTCAGCTGACCTGGGAGCCGTCCCCACTCTTCAGCAAGGCCAGTGTCCTGATCAGCTCTGGTTGAGAAGGTGTTCATCAAATGGATTAAGACTCCAGCCAGACCAAGTTGCGAAGAGCCCCTTGCAGGTCTGTGGGCAGTGGAGCTGGGAGGAGGTGCATGCTCTCTGTGTATATAGCCGCAGGCCAAGGCGATCAGTTCCCTTCCCCATCCCCTGTACATAGTTTAATAAAACAAGGGTTGCCGGCTGACCTCCACAACATATGTTTCCTGCATGCGATTTCTCTCCACTGCTCAGTTTGGGGACAATGAATTGGTGATGATCCTTTTAAAATAGAGCCACAAATTATATTTGTCAAACGGCACCTCTGGCAAAGCCATTGCCATCTATCCAATAGCATCCTTGGAGCTTGGTGGGGAGTGGGCTGAAGGCGGAGTGGGGTGGTACCCCCAGGTAAGGTACATGCAGAGGAAAACCCCTGGGATGGCTGCTTTTGTCAGGCACCATCCAGTCTGTCCCAACCCATAGTGACCTTACGCACAACAGAACACTGCACAGCCTCCCGCCACCCTCCCCATTATTCCTATGCCTGAGCCCATTTTTGCAGCCATGGGGTTGATCTAGCCCATGAAAGCCTTCCTCTTTTATGCTGTCCCTCTCCTGATTACATGTCCCGAGTAGATAATATGAATGCTCATCACCCTTGCTTCTCGGGAGTGTTCAGGCCTTACTTCTTCCAAGACAGGTTGGGTTGTCCTTTTAGCACTTGAGGATACTTTCAATGTTCTTCTCCAGCACAATTCAAGTGCATTGACTCTTTTTCAATCTTCCTTATTCAGTGTCCAACTTTCACATGCATATGAGGCAACTGAAAATACCATGGCGTGGGTCAGGCACACCTTTGTCCTCAAAGTAACATCCTTGCTTTTCAATACTCTAAAGGGGTCTGTGTCGCAGATTTCTCATGTTTCATCTCCCCTCTGACTCTCACACTTTAGATCCAGCAGAAAAGCTCCCACTTTGATCTTCTAAGCAATCTTTATGTTGTACTTTTATAGCATCCGAATTGAAATCACACTGTCACTCATACTCGATATAGATATATGTCCAGAAGCTGTAACCCCATTCTTCTCTATTTGACATGATTTCCCCTTCAAGCCTCGCCTAAGAAATTCCTTGGGGAGAGAGGAAAGGGAAGAGTTCAGCCCAGTTATTACTTTAAGTGATCTTTGGGGAGTGAGGGGGAAATATTCTCTTTTGTGGTTGACTCACTCTTTTCTTTTCTTCTTTCACCTCTCCAAGGTGATCTCTTTAAACCTTGCCTGGCTTTAAACATCAGGACAACGCGGGTACTCATGACGTCCCGCTGGTCCTGATGTGTGCAGTGGTGGGTCTTCCTCATACTTGAGTGACTTGCAGATTTTTGGCGCTATGTTTTTTCCCCCTCAACCTTGGTGGGACTCAGTGGCCCTCTCTGCTGACTTTGGCTCTCCCTCCGTTCTTGCTGGCGCCATGATATTCCTTAGATCTCTGTGTGACTCCTATTTAACCCTGATTTGGATCACTCAGCTCTCTTACCACAATGCCAACCCTCTCGGGCAGCTCCCCAGACACTCAGTGAATTCTTCTTCCTCCTTCTTGGGCAGTTCCCCAGACCCTGAGTGAACTCTGCACCCTCCCCTGAGGGCCTGGCGGGAACTTCTTAGTCTTTCCGTATCACAGGAGGACTGAGCCTAGAGCTATCACACCATGGGAGAGTTTTCCTTCTCTGGTTAATTCTAAGCCATAAGCTCACAGTCCCTGCAACCTATATTAGAGAACATCTACCTCAAGGGTGTTAGACCCAAGATACAAGGTGGGGGCATACTTGTCTCACAATCATCCTCCTATCTGCATCTCTTGGCTTTCTCATAATCCACTGGACCAGGAGGGAATTTCTTCCTTTTGTCAGACAGGGACTTTCCATTAAGTCATAGCTCTTTCTTCTCTCCCTTTCTCAGCTTCCCAGATTCATTGTAAGAGCAATGTATTCAATTCTGTGGCTGAATAACAAATTTCCCCGGAATGATGGTGCTGTCAAGGAGGTTCTAAACTATGTACATATGAATGAATGAAACATTGCCTGGTTCTGCCCCATCCACACAATTGTTTTGCCTGAGCTCATTGTTGCAGCCACTATGTCTATCTAGCATCTTGTTGAATGCCTTCTTCTCTTTAATCACCATCGATTTTCCAAAGCATGATGTCCTTTCTCAGGGACTGGTTTTTCCTGATAACATGTCCCAAATACATGAGATGAAGTCTTGCCGTCCTTGGTTCTAAAGAGCTTTCTGGCTATACTTCTTCCAAGACAGATTTGTTTGTTCTTTTGGCCCTCCATCATACTTTCAATATTCTTCATCAGCACCATGATTCAAATGCACCCGCTCTTCTTTCATCTTCCTTGTTCTATGTTCAACTGTCCCAGGCATCTGAGGCAACTGAAAATACCACAGCTTGGATCAAGCATGCCTCAGTTCTCAAAGAGACATCTTTGCTCTTTGTGCCAGTTACATAATCTCCTGTCAACTTGAAAAGGGGTGGAGTCTAGCCTGTCAATCAGGTTGCAGCTTGATGGCCTCATTTGGAGGCACGATAGAGATAAATCGCTCACTGGAGGCCAGATACAGAGAGACTCTGCCGGTGGTCCTGCTGACAAGCCACATGGAGACCCCTGATGGAACCAGAGCCCTGGAGCTGGAGGACCCACGTAGAGAGCCACCCCAGCGCTGAGATGCTTTCACCACCACTGCATCCACAAGACTTCCCACCCACTGGCCTGTGATCTTCCTGCATTCAGTATCATTGCGTGTGTTGTGTGAGTCTGAAGAGGAACTTATAGACTGGTATGGGGCAGATGGGCTAGTATAATATTTATGGACTTGATCTGGGTGGGCTGTGATGTTTTCTTAATATACGATTACCGTGCTGTTTGATATAAAGTTCTCTATTACACACATATGAGTGTCTATGAATTTGTTTCTCTAGTCAACACAGACTAACACACTCTTTTATAGTTTAAAGAGATCTGTAGCAGCAGATTTGCCCAGTGCTGTCTGATGTTTGATTTCTTGACTGCTGCTTCCATCAATATTGATTGTGGATCCAAGTAAAATGAAATCCTGGACAACTTCCATCTTGTCTCCATTTATCATGATGTAAACTGTCACCGTTATTTCTGGTTTTGGGTTTTGGGACTCCGGTTTTCTTTATGTTGAGGTTTAACCCACACATAACACGGTAGTCTTTGCTTTGCATTAGTAAGTGCTTCAAGTCCTCTTTGCTTTCAGCCAGCGAAGTCGTGCCATGTACACATCTCAGCTTGCTCATAAACCTCCCTCCCATCCTGATGCTGTAGTCTTCTTCATGGAGGGCAGCCGACTGGGTTAGTTCCTCAGTGGACAGACTGGATGCATATGGTGAAAGGACACAATTCTGACTCAGAGTTTTCCTGAGTTTCAATCATCCAATCACTCAGTGTTTCGCATTGCGTGTTCTGGAGTTCTCATTCTTTATCATGTTATCCATAGTTTGTTATGAGCTACCCAATTACATGCCTTTGCCCGGTAAATAAAACGCCAAACAGTATCTTTCTGACATTCTCTGCGTTCAGTCACGATTCATCTGATGTCAGCATATCCCTCTTCTGAATTGACCTTGAATTGCCAGCAGCTCACCCTCGATGTCCTGCTGCAACCATTTTAAAATTACCGTGAACAAAGTTTACTTGCATGTGCTCTGCATGATGCTGTGGTGAGGGGCTGCTGAGTGTTTCCAACTCCTGGGACCCTGTGTGGAGCAGAACAAAACGCCAGCCACCGGCTGGGCCTGCGCCGACCCAAGTCTTTATTGTTCTTGTGTCTGAGCCCATTGTTGCGTATGGGTTGATAACTTCCACATTCCGCTGGGGCATCTTTCTTTGAAATGAGCACAAATGTGGATCTCTTCCTGTCGGTTGGCCACGTTACTGTCTTCCAAATTTCCGACTGCTTCCCAGGGTGCATCAGTTAGATCAAACATCGTAGTTGGTAATTTGCCAATGCCTGGAGTCTTGTTTCTCACTAATGCCTTCACTGCAGCTTAGACTTCTTCTCTCAGCACCGTGCGTCCTGATCCTACACTACCCTGAGAAATGGCTGAAGATGGACCACACAACATACATTTGCTATTTCAGAGTTGGAGTGCACCAGCGACTTCATTCAGTTAATATGCTGTCCTTGTCTGTAGTCACCTGAAGACTTGACTGGGGTTGAAGGAATTGATTCTCTATATATGTATTAGCTCACTCAGTGGTTCTTTTAAGTCTAGAAACCTTGGCTCTGGAGGGATATAACTATGGTTGGATCAGAAAGATCTCACTTCAAATTCCTATCTTACAACTTCTCTTCTAAGTATTTTTTTTGGGGGGGGGGCAAGTTCTTAGCCTCCCTACCTCAAGTTCACCATGTTTGGTTGACATGGTAAAATGTGTTTGTAGGAGGGTTGGGAGTACCCAGTGAGATATTGTGTAAAGCTGTGAAGACAGAGCAGGGCATCTTTTGATGCCTGCAATCACTGGGGAGCCAGAGTGCCTCCACATCTGTGCCTGTAGCCCAGTGTTCCCACATCACACGATGGGGCTGTCTGTCTGACCCAGTGCTATGGCACCACAATGGCAAAAGTCAGTAGCTCTGGAGAACCCATAAGTCGGCGCAATCCCCCAGCTGCTCTGCAAGAGAAAAGACCAGGTGGTTTGCTCCTTCAAAGATAAGAGTCTAGAAAACTTTATCAAGAG